CCTCTCTCTCTCTCTCTCTCTCTCTCTCACTCGTTTCCGAAAACGAAAACGAGAGTGAATCTTCTAGAGCAATCAATGAATTCAATCCAATCGGGCCATCGCCAATTTTCAATTCCAATTAGCTAAGGGTTCAGTCTAGATAAGAGCTGGGATGGTTGGATTTGGCCGCCGGCGTATTATCTTGTTTACTTACCCACTCTCTAGACTCGATTATATCAGGAGAGAGAAAGAAGAAAGTCCGTCTCTCATTTCTCAATCACAAGAGATGAAGATAAAGTTCAAAAAGCATCCTGAGGTCCGAATACTTCCGCTAGAACATGCAAAGATACACGAACCTTGATTATTGTCTTTTGTGCATGTCTATAGTAACCGTCTTTCTTTTTCTTTTTTCCGTGTATTTTAGAGTAAATCCCGTTTTGTTTTGTTTTCTTTTCATTTTTTTCTTTTGAAATTCTGTTTCTCTGTTGTTGCTTATTGCTTTTTTTGTGTGTTCTTTATTCCGTGTTCTTCTCCAAGCTTGTTTGGGAAGTTAGCGCCCGGTGTTCGAGCCTCGCTAAGGCTCGTCATACCGGTCGGCGGAGGCTCGGACTTGACAGCTGGGCCAAGTACTGGTGGCTTAAGGTGAGTGTGATTGATTAGCCAGGCGTTAGTCGGGAGGCAGCGCTGGGCAATCTGCCACTGTAAGGATGTGACTTTCGTGGGCCTAAACTTGCTTTCCTTGAACAATTGGTTAGGTATGAGGAGCGCACGACCCACATTGAGGTGTGTGGCCCATTTGTCATTTATTCGGTTGCAAGTTGGGCGTTTGGGCCGGAGCATCTTATATGTATAGCGTTGACCGGTAAGGTGTGAAGGATCTGTTTGGCGACCGTTCCGAGATATTCCACTTGCATTCCAAGGGGTCGAAGGCCAGCTCATAGATTGGGGTTAGCGTCGAAAGACTGTAGTTTCCTCGCCATCCCCTAACACCCGTACTTAGAATACCTCTGATCTGTCTCATTAGTATTTCGGCATCCGTGGAGGGTGCTTTGTGGGCCAATTGTGAAATATTCTACTAGTACTAGAACATTGGAGGCTTGTATCTCGGGTTTCGCGGAAGGCGACCCAATCTCCTTCCTGCAGGGTGGGGCCATGTCTGAGAAACCTACACCATGACAATGGGATTTCCTCAATAATGAAATATAGGTTCATGTCCGT